CATTTGGAGATGGCTATTTTTCGATATTGAGAGCTGCGAGCCGGAACATGATGTAAAACTGAAAAAAAACACTATTTTTACAGTGATCCCAGGTATTTTACAGTGGCGAAATCATCCGGAGCCGCTTCTGAAGGCCTCAACTGAAGCTACAAATATTCCGTATGCTTTACACGTTGAAAATTTGCCACCAAAGTTGTATTTTACTCTAATAATATTAACAAGTTATTATTTTGCGAAGTTACAGGAGGTATTCTTTACTCCAGCCCTTTTCTAATTTCTTCTGTACGTCGCGGTTCCTGAGCTCTTAAAATTGTCTCTGTCTTGTACTCGTCAAAGTTTTTGCCAAGTCGGAATGTTGTTCTTTGCAATTATGTGTTGCAGTTCTTTAAAAACACAGAAAGTTTTGAGAAGAACCTAAATCTGACAGTTACCCAAGCAAAGCAGTGAATTCTTAGACTTCCTTGCGACGCCAAAGTGATGTATATTAACTACACAGTTTTCACAAAATAAAAAACGAGAACTAGAAAAAGCTAGAGTAAAGACTACCTATTATGACCCTGCAGAATAATAATTTGTTAATATTATTAAAGTAAAATACAACTTTGGTAGCGAATTTTCAACGTTTAAAGCATACCGGATACTTGTAGCTGCCAGCTGGGCCTTCAGAAGCGATTCTGGACGGTTTCGTCACCGTAAAATACATGGGGTTACTATAAAAATAGTCGGTTTTTTTTAGTTTCACATTCCTTGCTGGCTCGTAACTCTCGGTATCAAAAAATCGCCATCTCTAAATTTTGATATGTTGTAGAGAAAAAAATTTTACACAAATTTTATTATATTTGGAATTGAATTATTCATCATTTTTTTGAAAATTCAGGTCGTGAAAAACATGCTGGTCAGAAATTGTTAAATTTCATTAGGAATGGGCCGAAATTACAAGCCTGCAAAGATACGCATATCAAGCGGAAACCTGGCAAACTTTGCAACTTTCCGGGGATGTAACTTGGCGGGGAATCCACTTCTCAAGGTTTTCTTTGCGGCCTTCTTTATACTGGCCTAGATTCTACTAACTAGCAAAAATGAAAAAAATCTGAGAGGTCGAGTGTCAAAAGTGTGCGACTTGGCGTGGAATGGCCCATTTACGTATATATAGTCCGTTTCATTTCCAATTTGGTGCGAAAGTTTTTTCTTGGTGGGATGAGAGCTACAGTACTCAGATCGGCTGGCAACACATTAAAAGTTGCGACCTACGTCCACAATGGGCTCTGTTTAGCTGGTTTGTTTTTGGAGATCTGCAGATTTTTTGACATCATTCGATTCCTTAAATTTG